ATAATCCATATTTAATGATTTTATTATTTTGTTCTGGTAAAGTTACTGTGTTTATATTAATATATGATTTCTATGATTTATATTTTTAGAACTGATTTTTTGTTTATTTAATTTGAGCTGTGGGCGAGCTGGCACTGTTTCAACCGGGGTTTGGGTGGGTAACAGAGGAGAAGCAGCAGAGAGGTGTGGAAGACTACAACTCTGCTTCCTGGACTGGACCCTGGGTTGTCAATAATTTGGAGAACTAACAAAATCAGCCAAATTTCCAGAAAGAAGAGCGGCTCCACCCAAAGTGGGACAAATGCCATCTCTCCGCATCAGACCAGGCTTTCCCCAAAAAGCACTCCAGTTATTCACCACGTTGTTTTCAGGACATCAGCTGGAGGTTGAACGATGACTAAACATGCCATTGCTGGTCAGGTTATCTGAAATCTTATTATTCTATTTACTTTTATGTTTGTTTTTAAATAATTAAATGGGTCCTTGACAATTTGTACAGCCTATTGCCAGATATATGACTTTTGGGCCATAATTCTTTTGTTAAATTTAGGGGGAAACTACCCACTTTTAACTTAAATTCCTAAACATCAAAATAAAATTATATAGGAAGTTTGGTGTACAGGATGGACAGCACGGTGGCGCAACTGGTAGAGCTGCTGTCCTTGGTTCAAACCCCGGTCCAGGGCCTTTTCTGGGTGGAGCTTGCATGTTCTCTCCGTGCATGCGTGGGTTTCCTCCAGGTACTCCGGTTTCCTCCCACAGACCAAAAACATGCATGTTAGGCTGATTGGTAACTCTAAATTGTCCCTGTGTGAGTGAGAGAGTGAATGGTTGTTTGTCTCGTTTGTCTCTATGTGGCCCTGTGATGGACTTGCGACCTGTCCAGGGTGTACCCCGCCCCTCGCACAGTGATTGCTGGACATGGGCACCGGCAACCCCCGTGACCCAAAATGGAACAAGCGGATAAAGATAATGGATGGATGGATGGATGTACAGGATGAGGGATAAACACAGATCCTACGATGTAAGCTGCACAGGCTCTACAGTACAGCTGAATAAAGCTACACTTCTACAAAGGAGTAGGAGTGAAGTGTAAACATCTTACAAATGGAAGGCTGAAGCTTAGCAGGGAGACATTGGATTTAGAAGCCATCTAAGATGTTACCTTAGTTCCCTTACAATTTAACCCACTGACCTTATGAAATGTACTCATTTGTCAACTTTTCCACTGTGGTTACAGATTTTTCTACAGCAAGTCACAAAGCTGAATCTTAACAAACCTGAAACTTCTCTAAACACATGGAAATGTGGCTTATTTTCTTCTTTAGACTCGCATGCTCGTGCAGTCAAAAGTTGTGGGATAAGAGTCCTGCAAAAACATACGATTAACTCTGACAAAGACCACAATATTTTTAGAAAGCAACAATATTAAACATTGCGTTAGAGCATTTTTTCATATTTGTCCTTTTTTTTTTGTTAAATTAAAAAAAAAAAAACTTCTCAAAAGAAAAGAGCGAGGAAGGTTACTAATTATCCTTTTTGTCATGTGAACAACCTTCAGCCATTCTGTCTGGTATCTTTCCCTCACAAACCAGGCTTCGAGGTTGAGCGAGTGAGAACCCCACCACAAGACTCCCACCCTTCAAGATTCCCTCTGCTTGTACCGTATAAGCCCGGAGAACCACATCCTGAGCAGAGAAACGCAATCGACAGCAACGCTTTCTTGAACTGGAAAATTGGTTACACAATCTGAACTTTTCACTGATGTTGCTCGACAGAAATATTAACAATCATTGCTTTCATTGGAAGCACGACTGTGGAAAATGCAGGGATATTGAATAAAAAAAAACCTTGTTGAAAAAATAAATAAATAATGCAGGCCTATTATCATGAGACGTGATGAGAAAGATGTCTCTGTTTGATGTGATTGTCAAGGTGAAATGCTTCAACCCCATCTCTCAAATTACTCGGGGAATTCTGTCATTAAAGTAATATCTCAACAAAGACTAGTGGGTTTTAACACAACCGCACAAAAAGGCCAATAAACAACTTTACCACAGCTTTGCAAATTTGACTTCATAATAAAGATAAATACAGCTCTTAAAACCCAAATAATGTACCACTGATTTCTGTAGCTATCTTAATTTATTAAGTATATGTAGGTTTATGAAGAGCTAACAAATCACCTGAGATATTTGTTAGCAACTTTGAGAAATTGTTCATTGGACATGCAACTACATCTGATGATTGTTTGGAGTCAACCCTATTAACAGGCTGCCGTAAAAACAGAGACTTTATAAAACACAATATTAGCTATAGCTCAACCATTTTTACAGCTATCGCACTAAAACTTAGCGTGGCAGTAGCTACCGTACTTTCCGCTGTACAAGTCGCAACGCCCTATAAGTCGCATCAGTCCAAATATGTCTAATAAAGTGGAAAAATCCATAAATATGTCATTTCGCCGTATACGTCGCATCTATTATGCGTCACTGGTGACGTGTCACGTTGGTTACGTGTCACCGCTGACAACCCGGAAATGTGGGCCGAACCTGGAAATGTGGGCGGCTGTGCCAAAAACCGACTGGCTGCCAAATGGCGGCCGCGGGGTCATGCATGAGAGGACTTTAACAAGAATTTAAAAAGATTAACACTTAAAAACAATTATTTGTTTGCTCAAAATTATAGCAATGTGTGTCTCAGTTTAACTTTTGCTTAATAAATGCACTTTGACGGTCAAATCAGTTGCATTTTCAAAAGTATTTGGTGCCTCGGTGCTCCGGAAGTGCGCTCTGAGGGAAGAAGGAACGCGCACATTTCTTCAAAATTTAACAAGATAAGCACCTAAAACAATTATTTGTTTGCTCGACTTCATAGTAAAGGGTGTTTCAGTTGAACTTTTACTTAATAAACACACTTCAATGGTCAAATCAGCTGCATTTCTCCGGGGCGGCGCAGCGAAATGAAGCTGATTTGACTCTTGCTCCAGGTAGATGACGATGGCAGTCTATGGCAAGCCGATTGTGTCATTAATAGCCACTTTGACCTATTACATGACACAAGAGCATACCGTACTAGAGCTGTCATTTCTAACCCGAACTCGGAGCCTGGCCCCACCTGACCTGGATTCAGACCGGGCCATAATAATGTGTTTAAAGTGCGGGCCGAGTCGGTGTTGGGCTTTTTATTGCTTCAGGGACGCGTACGGCCAACGATCCAATTATATGCCAACATGGCTTGCCATACAATCACCAGCCGCATACGGCCATTTGACCACGCCATGACCGGCCGGTTGAAAGAGGTAAAAAGTTCAGTTAAGCTTCACATGGACTACTGCCAGAGATCCATGAGCCCAAATGGACGTTCATTCTGCTGCTGCACTCAGCGGACGTGTGCGGCCGACGACAAAATATCTGACATGTCATAGCAGGCAGAAGCAGGGGAAGCATTAAATGCGCTTTGAGGGCTCCTCAGCTCTGATCTTCTGCCCCCTTTACTCAGCCGCGTGCGTCAGCCAACCGTTAATAATAGTCTGTGTTATAAGCAGTCAAAGCTTAATAAAAAATGTTGTGGGAGGGGGTTTCGGGTTTGGACCTGCAATTACTGTTAATTCGTCGGATTGGGTGGGGTTCGAAGATGATGGCTGTAGGCTGTAGGCTGGGGCCGGGTCAGATTTTATGAACCTGAGTGCAACTCTATACCATACTACTCAAGTGCCATCTAGCGGATGAAAATGGTAGTGTTCAATATTTTCAGTCAGAATGAATGAAAACGGTCAAAAATAAAAAATAAAAAACAAGCCAAAAATTGGTTTATAAATATGAGGAAAATCCATAAATACATCGCTTTGGCATATACGTCGCAGGGCATGCAAATTGTGCAAAAAAACGCGACTTACAGGCCGAAAAATACAGTAAGTGTTTTTGACGAGTGAGGGAAGAATGGAGTGTGAGGTCAACAAACGGATCGGTGCAGCTTATGCAGGATTGCACTCTGTGCAGGTCCATTGTGGTAAAGAAGGAGCTGAGCTGCAAGGAGAAGCTCTCTGTTGAGTGGTCGGTATATGTTCCTACCCTCACCTACGGTCAAAAACTCTGGGTAGTGACTGAAAGAACAAGATCAGTTACAAGTGGTACTCCACATCGAGAGGACCAGTTGAGGTGGTTCGGCAACTGGTAAGGATGCTTTCTGGACGCCTCCCTTGGGAGCTTTTCCGGGCATGTCCAACTGGGAGGAGACCCAGGGGGCAAGACCCAGAACACTTTGAGTGACAATGTCTCTCAGCTGGCCTGGAAACACCTTGGAGTCCTTCTGGAAGAGGTAGAAGAGGTGGCTGGGAAAAAGGAGGTTTGGGCCTCCCTGTTCAAGCTGCTGCCCCAGAGACCTGACTTTGGAACAACTTGTGGCGAATGGATGGATGAATGAACGGATGGACGGATGGATGGATGGATGGATGGATGGATGGATGGATGGATCGTGTGAGTTGTGTGAACTGAATGCGTGAGATTTGTTAATACTGTGAGCGAATTCGCAACATGTCATTTTCAAGATTTGACCAAATAGGCTAAAACTCTGGCAGTGAGCAATATGCATTCTTTCCAGAAATGCTATTTGACAAGTTATTCCATTAATTATTTGATTAAATAATGCTGGTTTAAATGCTATTATGCTTGTTATTTAAAGAAACTTGTGAAAACGTCAGAGCTCCACAGTTACGACAGCCCATGTTTGAGTTTGACAAACAAGAACTGTGTAAGTAGATCCTTAAAAATAAAAACAAAAGAGAGCAATAAGTAAGCTGATTTGAACAACACACACAGCCAGTATCTTTTCATTCTGTTTTTGTGGTCTACAAGAAGTCCTGTTCAACCTCCACCCACTTGTAAAGACAACCCATACACATAATTTGGCAACATATCTTCATAACATCGCACAGACCAATGATGGTGTTTTAGCCAAGCGACTGGAAGAGGAAATAGAGGAGTATAAACAGCACTTACCACAGACAGGCTCAGGTTTCTATGGTTTGCTAAGGCATCTTCTGGACAGCTCACACACACAACGTATCGTTCAGGAAACAAACGCAAATCTGAAAAGTGGGCAGAGAAACGGTGCAGACCTTTCTGGTTAATAACTTGGGCTTACCTCTAATTATGAGTCAAAGCCAGGCAGAAATAATGTTGGTGGATGTTGGAATTAACACAAACAGCATGAATTAACCTTCCATCAGACCACAAACAAAACTGCAGTTTAAATATAAAACTGCTGAACATTCTGAACTAAATGAACAGTACAAAAATGTTGAAATTCTTACTTTAACGATGGGGTTGGGGAATCATTTGGTTATCCTGCATTTTAATGATGCTCAACATAACACTTTTGATACTGAGCTTGACGTTTTGTGGACTAGAACTTACTGGATCTACACCATTCAAACATTAGCTTCAAAAGCACTGAACAGTGAAATACTTCTAAATGTTGTTCTTTTTGATTTGTAAAGCAATTATTTTATACATTTCTTTTAGACTGTTTACATTTCACACTAAGCCCATTCATCATGAATGTTAAGTCCTCAGTTATCAAGAGAGACTCGGAGTAGAACCGCTGCTCCTCCACATCAAGAGGAGCCAGTTGAGGTGGTTCAGGCATCTGGTAAGGATGCTTCCTGGGCACCTCCCCAGGGAGGCGCTTCGGGCTTGTCCTACTGGAAGGAGACCCAGGACACGCTGGAGAGACTATAGCCCTATTCTCACAGGATTAGTTTTGCCTAGGGACCACATGTAATAAATAAATTACTCCCAAACGTCTGCTTTTTATGTGGCGCATTTGTACGGGATAACTAAAGCCTGAGATTTAGCTGAAATTTACGGACCTCTTCCGGATATGATGTTAACGCGCTGCGTTGTCACGACCGGGCCGGTCCATATAATGTGATTAATGTGCAGTATGGGACGGTCTCAGGCTTTGACGTGGTTTTACGAATCAGCACCAAAAAAAAAACTAAAGAATGCACAAAATAAAATTGTGTTAATCTGCTTGTTGAGGAGGAGGCAGGTCCGACCGGCCGGTTTAAGAGGTTAAAAATAAGCCACATTAAGCTCAGATGGACAGCTGTCACCGTCTGTGCACGTGAGAGTCCGTGCGTCCGCTGACCTGCCGATTGAAATGGACTTGCAACCTGTCCAGGGTGTCCCCTGCCTCACACAGTGATGGCTGGACATGGGCACCAGCGACTCCCACTACCCAAAAAGGAAAAAGCAGGTAAATATAATGGATGGGTCAGTTGATCACGTGCGCGACTCCGCACCTCCTGTCATCTGCGGTGAAGGAAGTAGCAGCATAAATCCAAAGCAAATAAAAAACATTTTAAAAAAATTAAAAAGCCGAAACGAGCAACGCGTTAATTTAAAATAGCCTTGTTCTATATTTTTCCCAAATGATTTTGCTAAAATAAAAACAAAAAAATGCCTAATTACGTATCAGACCCCACCCATTTCTGTCCAAATCACAGAGATGCCTATTCACATTGGATTAGTATTATCACAGGACCTCGGAGTTCAGCAAAATATAGTAGGTAATTTGTGGGGGAATTTTTACTTTACAAATTACTGACATGACTGATTCGCACGGGATTAACAACACAGACAATCTCCGTAATTATTACAAATAGCATGTGGTCCCTAGGTAAAACTAATCCCGTGCGAATAGGGCTTATGTCTCTCAGTTGGCCTGGGAACGCCTCGGGGTCCTCCCAGAAGAGCTGGAAGAGCAGGCTGTGGAGAGAGATGTCTGGACCTCCCTGCTGCCCCCGAGACTGGATGGACATGCATGGATGGATGCATGGATGGATGGATGGATGGATGGATGGATGGATGGATGGATGGATGGATGGATGGATTACTTCACTAGACATATGGACTCAACTAAACTTAATAAGCCGAAGACCCCCGCACCCCAAATTGTGTTCCAGCATCGATTGGTTTACTAATTCAGCTCCATTTCTTGGTCTGACTACTGCTGTTATGATTCTGTTCAGTTGTATGTAGTTTTCTGTAATAATTTGAAGAAGTGGCAATACATTTAGATGTTTGTTGTGTGAATAGGTAAAATTTTAAAGTGGTTATGGATACTCCAAAGTTCATGCTCAATAATCCAAGTAAAAATCCAGCAATGTTCAGTCAGGTCATCTGGACCGTTTATTTAAAAATAAAAATAAAAAAATAAACCGTCCAGATGACTCGACTGAACATTTTTGTTTTTGATTCTGTTAATTTTTCTCAAAACTGTAATTTTTGGAAGTTGAAATTAAAAATGTTGTTAATTAAGTGTGTCTTGAATAAAAAATATCCCATGTTTAAAAGTATAAAAAAATGTATTAACATTATTAAAGAACAGGTCTTAAGTACTTATGTTGCACAAATATTTCCATCGCATTAAAGAGACAAACTGAAGAAAATTATTTAATAAACATTTAATAAGCATGAGGGTTATGAAGTGGTCCCTGAAAAAATTTTCTCCCCTGTAAGGGGTCCCTGAACCCAAAAAGTTTGAGAACCCCTGCCCTAAAGGACCAGGTCTCATCTGCTGCATAATGGACCTGTTGAGATAAGGCATCATCTCACTCTGCAGCAGGTCCATGCTGCCTTAACATCCAGGACCTCAGCCTCGAGGGAACAGATATTAACTTTACTGACAGGAAGAGAAGCTTGTTGGTCCCATGAAAAGGTGACCAAGGGTCATAGGGAGTAGATGAGCCATGAAGATAGATTCTCACTGCCCTCTATAGACAGTCACACAGCTTTTCTCTCTCTCACTTCTAATAGCCTCTCAAGGGAACCACTTAATGGATGCCTGTTTGCAAAAACACCCTAAGCAGGTACGGACAGGACATAAAAACAAGTGAAGGGGAGAAAAATCAACATGCCGACCACAGATGACTTGCTCTTTCTGTGGGAAATCTGGCTGAATATGAACTACTGAGACGTCTATTTTTGACTCTTTAAAAAGCCACAGTGTCTTTAAAAATATTTAGGTCACGTACCCTGCTTGACAACACATCTGAGACTCGAGTGCCGCTTCAGAAAATTGGCCACAAGGTTGAAGTTTTCCCCTGTTAAAAAAAGACAAGAGAGACATTTAACATTAAAATTGACACTAATCAAATTTAAGTACGGCTTTTAGTGTGACGAAAATTAATAACTTGACCATGCAAAGTCTTTTCAAACAAACTGATTATTCAATGGACGCATGATTCCAGCATTTAGTCTAAAGGTCTTTCATGATGAATTATACAATTTATTTCATGCGCCACAAAAAAAAAGCAAGACTGGTTTGTTCAGAACTAGGCATCGAACCAGCAAACTCAACTTCTACACACAAATAACGCCCTATTGTTGCGTTTGCGCACCAACTTCTATCTAAATCCTAATGAAATCTCTAATTAATTGGCACAAGCAGAAGGGTCATATGTTGGTGCTTCTCCTGGAATGTTTGTTGCGGTATGTAAGATGTGCTGGGCAGAAACAGTGGACTGTTGCCAAATCTGGCAGGAATTTGTTGACTAAAAGCAAAGGTCTAACTCACATGCAACCCTGCTGTTCTTTGTGAACAAGCCCTCAGCGCTGTAAAAGCAGTCTGAACTTGCTCACTCTTTGGTATGTTTACGGGACACCATAATGGTTAAACTGCACTGCCCTTGATTTTACAATAATTGAAAAATAGCTTTTCCCTATTTTGCATTCTCTCTCTGTGTTGCTGGTTTAAAAATGTACTTAAGTGCAAACTTGAGGGGTCTGGGGGAGGATTTGAGTATTTTGACTTCAATTAAAGGATTACACGTCCTCCACAGTTTGAGAAAATGCTGACCTCTTGCTCTCCAGACTCTTTCAAAAGCCCCTGGATAATGTCAAATATGCACGGTCATCAAGCTAAAAAGGCTGTCTTCATTCCTGTAAACGTGACATCTTGAAAGGTTTTCATCCCCTCGGCAACAACACTGAGAAATATTCATTAATAAAACATAAAAAAACAGCAAGTCCCCTCCCAAAGTTGGCTTACAACAAGGACAAATACATCCCACATGGTGAGTTAGCCTGAGCTTCTGACACATTTAACAGAGCTGGCTTACAAACAACTGTGTGAACATTTCTCCATCTGCTGATTTATTCTAACAATTTATCGTGTTTAATGTCCTTTGTCAATGAAATGTCATTTTAAAAAATAATGTGCATTAATTAGGGATGGATGGTGTGGAGAAAAAAAAACCCACCCCAATGCCAAATCTTATACAGATTTTTAAAATTATTTTGCAACTAAACTCTTTCCTTATGTAAAAGGAGCCCTATAAAAACAACATAGGTGAGCAAAAAACATTTCTTTACAGATTTTAATTAGTTTGCGTAATTTTAAACTTGTGCCAAGTACAATAGACATTAAAAAAGTCTGGTAACAAACTTAAAGGTGGTATCTCACTGAGCAGCAACTCTTAGAGACTAGTTGCAATGTAAAATGGCAAAGAAACAGCAAAAGATAGGACATTTATTAATTGCAGTTTCACAGAAATCTGCGTTTGTGGCCAGTGAGCCGTGCAGCCATATTTTCCGCAGCAATTATCTGAAAATCACCACCTACTTTTTCCTATATGCTAGACCATGCACAATACTTCGTTTCCCACCTCTGCCCACTTTGTACCCACATATTACTGTTTTGAAATGAAGGTATACAAATTTGGACCAGTTTTTAGTTACCATACTTTTCGCTGTATAAGTCGCAGCTTTTTGCATAAACTAGCATGCCCTGCGACTTGTACAGCGAAGCAACTTATTTATGTTTTCCCCCCATATTTATAACCCAATGTTTGGCTGAGATCGGACGATTTCATTCATTCTGACATGGAAAATATTGAACACTACCATTTTCAGCCACTAGAGGGCAATCAAGTATATGACAAGCCAAGTGTCTCATTAATAGGTAAAAGTGGCTATTAATGAGACACTTGGCTTGCCATACAAAGCCACCGTCATCTCGCTCCGCAACTCCTGGAGCAAACATCAAATCAGCTGCATTTCGCCGCACCGCCCAGGCGAAATGCAGCTGATTTGACCGTCAAAGTGCATTTATTAAGGAAAAGTTCAACTGAGACACACCTTTACTATAATGTCGAGCAAACAAACAATTGTTTTTAAGTGTTAATCTTGTTAAATTCTTGTTAAAGTCCTCTGGTGCACGCTCCCGCAGCTGCCATTTGGCAGCCAATCGATTTTTGGGACAACACTGGCCCACATTTCTGGGTTGTCAGCGGTGACGCATAATAGATGCAATTTATATGGCAAAGCAACTTAGTTATGTTTTTTCCACTTTATTAGACATATTTGGATTGATGCGACTTATACAGCGGTGCGATGTGTATGGCGGCAAGTACAGTAATTGATATAAATCTTTGGTGTGTGCTTTAGAACTGGACTTTAACGGCTATAGCGAGAGCTTCCATGCAGGTGTCAAAATACAACTCTAAAATGTCCAAAAACTGTATCTTGACAGGTTGTAGACACTTGCAAATCCTGATTATTTTGAGCCAACTTTTGGTGCAGAGATTTTTTGAACGTGTTCAAAACTCCAACGACAAGACTGCGAGTCTCTGCGACTTACGCAAGTAAACGGAAAACCACAGCCGGGGTTTTCAGGCATTTTGGAGACTCCCTCATGAGCGATGTTCACCATCTACTGGCATCCCAGTGAGATACTGCTTTAAGAGTTTAATGTGCCCATTGTTGGTACTATGACCTCTCTGCTCACGTTCTGCTTCTTCACAACCTGACTTCACCATATCGCCCACCATTAGTATCATTACAGAAAAATAAAACTAAAAGTGGATCTGCAACTAGCCAGTGACTAAAGCACCAGCTCTCTTTTTGTTTGTGCTTGGGATGAAAATAAGAGTTATAAATAACAAGTACTAGCAGCATGGTGGTGCAGTTGGTAGAGCTCCTGTCTCTCAGCTAGCAGGTCCCCGGTTCAAATCCTGGTCTGGGGTTCTTTCTGGGTGGAGTTTGCATGTTCTCTCCGTGCATGTGTGGGTTTTCTCTAGGTACTTCAGTTTCCTCCCACAGACTAAAGCATGCACGTTAGGCTGACTGGTAACTCTAAATTGTCTCTAGGTGTGAGTGAGAGAGTGAATGGCTGTTTATCTCGTTTGTCTCTATGTGTCCCTGTGATGGACTGGAGACCTGTACATGGTGTCCCCCGCCTCTCATACAGTGACTGCTAGACATGGGCACCAGTGACCCCCATGACCTGAAAAGGAAGAAGCGGGTAAAAATAATGGATGGATGGATGGATGGATGGATGGATGGATGGACGGACGGACGGACGGACGGACGGACGGACGGACGGACGGACAGATGGATGGATGACCAGTACTGAAAATTAGTTTAAACTAAAGTTGAGAAAAACAACAAAATAGGGAAGCTCATTTTCTTCTATGAGCATATTGTTTGTTGCTATGACACTAAGAAATAACCTTTTTTGTTTGTTTTTGTTGTTATATAGAGAAATGGGAACATTTTGGTAAGAAAGTAAAGGAATCCAACAAAGTTAAGTCAGGTCCTCTGAATTTTTTTTTTTTTTTTTTGATGAGATGTTTCGTCCTTCATCTAAAGGACTTCATCAGTCAGAGGAGCTGCAACAAATTAAGTCCCACAAGCAGCACACTCATAGTGGATTAACCAGTTTGAAGGTGATAAGATGGTTTCTGGAGTCTGCCCTCTCCCCCGTCAACTCCTCCGAGGCACCCATAGCCAAAGTCAGGGGTGGGCAATTATTTTTTCCATGGGGCCACATGAGAAACAGCAAATATTGTGGAGGGCTGGCACAAATGACTTTTTCATTCCACATTTTTTTTGACAGGTAAATCCCATTGAGCCTCGAGGAATCATTCCCAAGAGAGACCTGATTTCAACTTAACTCAATTCCGCATAATAATAGTATTTCATTATTAAACGCAGTACATAGCACTGTTTTAACAAGCTGGTAAGAGTATTTGTTATGATTAAGCAACGAAAAAGTGAGGTTTCCTTACAAAAAATGTCATTTATTCAATTAAATTTCCCAGTACAGCGGTAAACTGTTAACATTTTTACCATTTGTGACGTTATAGTAATGGTCATTTTCAGTCACATTCACCCCAAAACTCATTTTGAGTTTTATATACTGCTGGAAAAAGTTCTTAGCTTTCTAAATATATCACAATATTGTCTTTGTACTCCAAATATTATGAAACATCATATAATAGTGACGTCACTGAACTGTGATTTTGAGTCCCGGTTCTTTACGTGCCTACATTTGTAGTCTAAACATCTCATTTGGTGTTTATCAGTTCTTTTTTCTTGTTTAGTGAGAGAAGTCTAGTCTCTGTTGGGCTTTAACGGAAATGTTAAAGTCAGGTTGAAGGTCTGAGGTGGAGATGTGAAGCAAAGCTGACATCATCAGTGAGAGAGGATCTATATCTGGATTTGGTTAACTTCATTTGTTTACATATGTATTTTGTAATTCCCCTTACGGGGGCCGGTGAGAGTCAACCAAAGGGCCGCATGTGGCCCTGGGGCCGTACAATGCCCAGGTCTGGCCAAAGTGGTTCAAAACATAAAAACCGGTTGGTCCACTATGTGAGTGTGCTGCTTGTGGGATTGAGTTTGTTTGTGGCTCCTCGGGCTGATGAAGTCCTTTGGATGAAGGACGGAACGTCTCAACAACAAAAAAAAAGAAACCGTCCAGATGACCTGACTGAACTTTGTTGGATTTTTTTACCTGGATTATTGAGCATGAACTTTGAAGTAAGCAAGGAATGTTTTTCAATAAGCATTAGTAAACACATGATGAAATCTCTTTAAGATTAAACAAAATAAGATTTGAATTATACACCATTTACCTAGAGCTTCAAAATGTTACATCTTGTTGTTTATTTTTCATTATTTGTTCTCAAGAAGTTCATAATGGACTAATTTTAAGTGGCCTTAGTTTTTCTCGAGTTGGGATTTTAAGACCTGTTCCAGGGGCAAAAATAACATTTTTAGTTGTTATTTAGTCCAAGTCAGACTCAAGTCTGTGAGACTA